AACGTTTTGTTATAGTGCTAAATGTACTTTATGAGATTACATAAACGCCATATTGCTATATAATTCTGTTTGTTTTTTATTTATAAAAATGTAATGTTTTTGACTTTTCCCTCACGTCATTAATATATATATTAACGGTGATTTGTTGTGTTTATGAGTACTTGTGCTACGAATGATGTCTTCTGTTTAAACGTTTTCTGTGAAAACGAGCTCAAAATTCCGTGATTTCAGAAATGCTCAAATGCCATTTTCTTAAAAAGGGTTCCAAATTTTTTCTTCAAACTTTTTGTGCTGATGCTGATAATTTATGAAGTCACTGTTTACCATGATATAAAAGCCGTTTTTCTGAATTCTTTTGCTTTTTGAAAAATTATACAAAAGTAACTGTTTTGAAATATCTCTCACGCCATTAATATGAACATTTCCAACGATTTGTATATATTATTTCATTTGTGAGTGGATGTGCTACAAATGACTTCCAATGAAGTTCCTGGAGAATTCGAAATTGAAGAGGTGGATAAAAAAAAAAAAAAAAGAAAAAAGAAATCATCAAATTGATCATTAGGGAATACTTCGAAGTAAAAAAAATGACTCGGTGAGATTTGGAATCCAGCTCTTCAATTCTTCTGTGAAAATTGCTTAAGATTTCGCATTTACACTAACGTATAAACAACATTTTCTTAAAAAAGGTTACACTTTTTTAATGAAAATTTCCATAAAGGACTAAGTTTTACTCTTTATTAATACTCGTATTCTTAAAATAATATTTCAGTTCTACCATTAAAAAACAGACAAAAATTGAGAAATTATTTTTAAAAAAATGTACTTTGCGCGGCGATTGATAGCAGCTGGCAAGAGTATGGGGCAAGACCGAAAAGCTAGCCCAAACCAAAAATTAGAAAACTAACCAGTACGAGAAAGTCTATGCCATTATGTAATACTATGTAAAACCTTTAGTTTGACACTTTAATATCATTTTAGATGTTGATTAGGTACCGTCCATAAATTACGTGAGACGATTTTGGCGATTTTTTGACTCCCCCTCCCCCTAGGTGAGATTTCGAGAGATTTGGCTCGTCTACCTCCCCATTCTAATCTCACGTAAGATTTTTCAAAATCCGTATTTTTAGTACGTTAATTTATGATTTTAGATACGTTAATTTGTGATTGATTGAAATGCAAATTATGATTTATTTAAAAACATAATTTGCTTAATTATATTTATTTAGGACTAGATATGACAAGTGTTTAGAAAACAGAATGACTGAATTTCAATGAATATTATTGCACTTGTAAAAACAGTGCATAATCAATGGTAATTCAGTCCTTGGGGACTCATGTGCGGTCTCATGAGTGACTATTGGAACATGTCCATATGATTTTTGGTGAAAAAAATACGTGATATTTGCGGAGACCCCCTCCCCCACGTAAGAGTAGGTGAGATTCGCCTTGACCCTCCCTCCCCCTACAGGCCTCACGTAATTTATGGATGGTCCCTTACCTACAATGGCTAATTGTTTTCTACTATTACTTATACTTGCTACTATTGTCTTCCTACTGTTTGACTGCGATATTCTTTATGCATATTCACTTTATATTATTCACAAATGTTTTGTATATGCTTCTCTTTATTATAATTACATGTAATCTGCACGCTTTGTATTCTACTTTACTACATACAAGAATTATTCCAGGTCTGATTACAAACAGGATTTCCTGAATCACACCATTTTGTGAAAATGCAAATATTGTTATATTTGCATATTTGTTCAAATACAGCTTATGTATAATTCGAATAATACAATACAGTTGGCCAAATTCAAAGTTTCTAAATCATTTTGCGTATGTGTCATAAATGTATTATTTGCTTACATCTGCAATATAGCCTAGCATAAATAGAATATCCGCTTACATATTTTTCATTAATGTAACAAACTTTTGTAAAAAATGTCCAAACTTTTTAATATGTTCTTGTTGTATAAAGAGCTAAGAATTGACCATATTCCATTTTTTTTAATTCACTCGTCGAAAATTCTTTTAATACTGATTCAACACACGAATCTATTTTCACAGATAAGAATCAGTGAACACTATAAAGTTTGCTCCGAAAGTCTGTGAACGTGGTGTATAGAGTGCGATGTTCGTAGGTCAGAATTGCATTGGCCTTCACAAGACTTGCTAGGCGACGCATATACAAGACCGAGTGGTCGCACAAGGGCTGAACTGGTGGTCTACCTAGAAATGAGCTTAGATTGTAGGGAAGAGCTGAAACAATAATGAATTTAAATTGGATAACATTTATTAAACTTTCCATTAATATTTGACACTAGTATTTAAATAAAGGTTTGTTAGCGCGTGTGTATACCACCAGGAAATATTAATTTCAATTCTTATGACATTTTTGAATATTTAGCACCATAATAAATTGTTAAATCGCAGTAATATGCGAATGATTCGATGCGATGCGTAAAATGTAAATTTTCCCTATTATTTTCGAGAAGCATTGACAGATTACATGAAAAGAATTCTCTATTCTTGAATCCCCGTAGAATATTTTTTAAGTTGCAGATATGGGTGGGCGATGAAATCTGTTTATCCCCTCACGGGGTAAGGTCACGGGGCTTAAGCCCGTCCTGAAATTTAAAAAAAAGTCTAACAACTCATATTGTAAATATGAAACCAAATTAATATTATATAAAAATCAAATGAAAAAAGTGCGGGTTTCACATTCGCTATAGGAGCAAATACGTCGAAAGTCCGTAAAAGAGTTTTGAGAAATATTACGTGATAAGTCTCCGTCATTGGTTTAGTGGGTCCTTCTAATAGTGAATTCAATAATGATTCAGAATAAAAGTTACGAGAATAATAAATGAAAATATCTATCTAATATAACGAATTTCACTTTTATTAGAAGTAAACACCAGTCCTGCTGAGAAGGTCAAAGCACAGCACACACTGGGCTATTCACAGAGAAAAAATCTCCTCCTCTTTCATATTGATATTCCGTTCTATTGAATTCATTGAAAAGAGCGAAATTTTCAAAGAATCAGAGCCGTAAAATAGCTTCTTGAACTTACAATTAGATCTGCTCCAACGATGACTTGTGTTAAGCGGTATATAACGATGGGAACATATTTTCATGCAATACTGATATTTATAATTACAACACACGTCGTAAAAATCACGTTCATCAAGTGTCAATATCAAAAGCTCACTATCAAAAATCCACATACAATACATGTACGTTACTTTTCAACGAGATGCCAGATGACATTAAACAATTGACGTCGGTTCACAAATTTAAATCTTTTCTGCTGCATAACTGTTTCTATACAATTAGAAACTATACTGATCATCGAAAAGAAAAAATAATGTTTATTTTAACAAAGCAGTGATATATAATGAATTAGTTTGCATTTGCATTGTATATTTTTTTTAAACACGTAATATGCTTGAAACAAATAATGTACAATTCAGCTTCCGGGTCAATGACCTCCATCTCGATCAGGTTTTTGACCAGTTTCGTTGATCCATTGAGCAAATGCTGAAATGGCCCGTTGTTTTGCTTCTGGACATAAATGTAGTTTCACTATGCGCACGTTTTATTCATCTCTCCTCTTGTAATGGTAGTAGAGGCAAGAACGAGTTACTATTTTGTTAGCAACGCAGGAAAATAAAATCTGCAGTTCGTTTCCAAATAATTTTTCTATAAATCGGGAACGAAAATGTCTAGCTTTTCATATATTGGTATTCTTGCGCTTTTTTAATTTTTTAATATTTTTTTAATAATTAAAGAAAATTACTTTTCCTCATCTTTTAACTATTTATAGTTAAAATGATAGGAAGGGATTCTGGAACGCAAGAAAATGTGCGCAGATGATCTTCTCCCCCATACGTCACATACAGGTTTTACTGCTTTTTTGAATAAATAAATCTAAAGCATTTAATAACCATAATTTGTATAACATCTTATGCAGATGCGTTCTTTTTCTGTGTGCTATATATTTGCAATTTGTTCATCATACAAATAATATATTGTAGGTAGAATCACAAATCTTCCCATTGTTATCCATTGTTTAAAGAAGGCAATAAGTGATGATCCCTCTTACAAAGTATCTGAAGTCTTAAAGATAAATTGAGAAAAAATGTGTTCTCTTAGGATCAATATTTTTAATAACGTAAGATGTTTTAAATCGCGTAGCGATCATGATCAGAGCTGAAGATACATCCAAAAAATTGCTGATGATGATCGCTACGCAACCGAAAAGATAATTATTCAAAATAGTGATAACAAGATAACACTTTTTTTTCTCAATTTGTGAACAGGTATCAACCTCACAGCAATATATTGATAACTCTACGGAACTACTTGAATGTATAGAATAATTTACATCTAGTGGTACTTTAGTCTTTTTGCATCCAGCCTTTTATTAAAATGTTCAATGTCAGTTGATGCTGGTGTAATTCTTGATTTCTGCTCATATTTGAAGCTTTTAATTTTTAGTTTTGCTTCTGTTGATATTTTTAAATTAAAAATATTTTTATGAATAATCAAAGTATTCTAATGCCCATTCATTTACCAAAGAATGCGATAAGATAATGTGAAAAATGACTAAGTATTACCAAGGCTCGTGCAGGACTATAAACATGCAGGAAACTAAACAAGATTTACAAGATTGGGCCATAATGTTTGGAACATTTTTAGAATATTTATTAAACGCTTGATAAACTGGTATCTTTAGTATAGAGAGTTACAGCTGGTAATGACTAGTGTACGTATGTCACTCAGTTCCGCCACCTAATTTCATGGTCAAGGTTTACTGAAGAATTCGCGTGATTATCACATTCACGTACGTGTCAGTGACCTCCAATAATATTGCTACCGACCGCAGGCGCTCCCAACGGCTCGAGCGCGAACCGTCAAGCGCTCCCTCGGCCGCCAGGGTGCGCGTCGGGCGCGCCGCGCATGCGCGAGAGCACCCAGTCGCGCAGACGGCGGGTGAGCAGGGCGGGCGGCTGCGGGGGCCGGATGAGTGAGTGCCAGGCCAGGTGAGTGCTGTGCGGGAGTGAGAGAGGAGCGAGTGTCGTCTGACGGTCCGCGCGAGCCCGGCGAAGTATCGGCGCCGGTGCCCAGGCGGGGGCAAATGCACGGGCGGCCCTGGACGAGTAGGAGTGCCGCACGCCGCTGCTGAGGCCCAACCCGCGAGAAGCGCGCGCGGCAGCCGCAGCGAGGCCGACCTGCGACCACGAGCATCGGAGACAGCAGGCACAGCAGCATGGCCGGTGCGGACGGCGGCGTGAGCAGGCGCGCGCGGGGGCCGGCGCCGCTGCGATGGATGGCGCTGTGCGCCCTCGCGGCCCTGCTGCCCGCGCTCGCCCTCGGCGGAGACATCTGCGCCAACGTGCGGTACTCCTACGAGAAGGGCTTGGGATCCGGCTCCATGCCCAAGGACACCCTCAAAGGTGAGTCTGGCGGCTGTGCGTCTTTTTACTCGCCTTGCATTCCCGGGAAGGCCCCTTGAATCGAGCGGCACGTCTGTTGTAACAGCCAAACACAATCCAGCCGCGTTTACGGTCACTACTTCTGTTTAGGGAACCCGCAAGCGATGAGTACAGCCGTCATGAATCAGATGCGTGTTCTGTTTTGGCCCGTGTTTGCATCCATTCCCCCTGTCTCGTTGCGTGCGCGCGGGACGCGAAGCACGGACGCCTGCGCGGCGCCAGCGCTGTCGCCGCGACCCCCTCGCTGCATTCGGCGGCGCGGCGCTCGTGCGTCTGCGCGTGTGTGCGTGCGAGCGTGAGTGCGTGCGCGTGGGCGCCCCGATCGCGGCGCGCGCCGCCGCCGCCGCCTGCGTGATATCGACGGCTCGCGGCCGCCCGCCCCGCCTCGCCCCGCCCGCCGACCGGCGCGCATCAGCTGTGAGGGAGCCACGCGTGCACGGGCGCCTCCCCTCCCCTCCCCTCCCCGGCGCGATTCTCAATGGATGCGTTGTCGGAGGCTGCCTGTCGATTTCGCTTTCGGACGTCAGCGGCAGAACTAAATCTTTCGTGAGCTATGGGAGTTAAAAAAAAGGCAATCTCGGCCTGCCGTAATTTAATTTCCGATTGCCATTATTGTATGGCGCATAGAAAAATCAGTAAATGAATGAACAAGTTTGGGATAAACATTCACATTTAAATTTGTATAAATTCAGTTTTGTGTATGAAACCTGATCGGTTTTGGTACTCTAATTTTCACTCCTGTACTACTGAGGTTCTTAGGCTGCGTAGTGCGTTAAAATACATCTAAACAAACAAACGTTTTTATGTGTTAACTAATAATTCGTTGTGTTTATATTGATCTTGTCACGAAATTGCACAATTAAATTGATAATCGTAAGCCCTATATTTGCAATTTTGTATTTAAAATTGGATGTGTAGTCTTTGAAGAGTCGCATGCTTTTATACAATACTATATTAAAATTTATAGTATAATATTGTACTTCTTAACTTTCATTCTCTACTCCCTACAGGTTAGAAAAATGCAGATACGTTTGACGTTTAGAGCCATGCGTAATTCATATCCTTGATGTTGATGCAAAATTTGACCTAAGTGCACTAGCAATTTTGTAATAGTGTATTCGTATTTTGTAGTATTATGAATTTGATATAAATATTATGTAACTTAATTATTATCTGAGAAATAACAAAGAGGCCTGTGATGTTGGACGGTTGATCATGTCATCGAATTATGTTTCACTTTTCCTTGACTTTCAAATATTTCAAGGGTTTGCGGCAGTGACAAGATAAGCCTCAGCAAGCCTCCCGCTTTTTATACTTATCTCGATTTTGAGAGCGTGGCTTATCTTGTTACTGTATATTGTTCATAGTCATGAAGAACAGGGCAGTAATAAGATGTGACAAGCGTCGACCAAAATCGATATTAACCTTTACGAATAGCGGAGGACTTGCTGGGGCTAGTGTGGCATACCTACTTTTGCTCCAAGCTCTACTTCATGTTGTCTTTGATAGATTTAACTGTATTATTTTCCAATTGTCATCATTATAATTCGAAATTTTTTATAAAGCATCGCATTCTTCTTTTTGTAGCACATTCTATATCTTTGTCTCAACTGTTTTGCGTTTGTTCCTCTGACACCAGTTTTTTTGATTTCTCTTAATTGCGTGATAGAGCAATTTGAAATTGGTGCCTTGTTACATTTCATATTTGTTGTTTCGTCCTAACATTGTGAAAGATCAACAGTAGGCGCCCAAAATAACTATTTTAGGAGGCAACGATTTGAATATTCCACTTTCTTTGTTGAATCAAGATTTCCTCGGGTCGTTCTTTGCAAATGTAGCCCCTTTCAGAAAAATGGAATAGTAAATTGTATTTTAAATCCTATTTCTTTCACGAAATCTCACCAAGTAAGAGAAGAGTTGTTTAGGAGATATGTCACTTCTTCACACTTTTACGTCTTCCCCCGCACTTGTATAAAATTCATCTTCAAATAAGTTCGTAGTATTCGAAGTTCGTACCTAGTAAATGCGATATATGCCAGCTAATACTAGCGTTCGCCTTTCTCTAATTCGCAGAAATGCAGCCTGCGTGTTTCGAGATTCACGGGCCAGGAATGCTTCGGTGTTTTATATCTACATGGTTACAGAAGGTTTATTGTTATTTTCTATGGTTCCGTTCTTCCACGCTCGAGTCAGGAATTCATGTCACGAATGGGCTGGATTATAAAATTCTTTTTTTGTGAAACAGTAAGAGACGACCTGCTGAAATGCCGTGGCAAAGGGCACAGCGAGGTAAAATTTAGAGTTATCGAGTGCACGGGGAGCCGAGTGGAAATGGGAGAAGACTAATAATTCTGTTTTCTTTTGATTTATTATTTCTTATGCGCGGTAGGACGAAGAGTCAAACTGTTTTTCCGCTTATTCTATCATTCTTCTCGTTCTATCATTCCACGGGAATCTGAGGCTTTTTGTGTTCTTTTCTGGAGAAAAGTCCCATTTTGAATAAGATTTTAATGCAATTCTCCAGAAAGGTTTGATGGGTTTGTCAATAATTAATTATTTTTATGTTGATTAGTTGAGGTGTTTTGTCCAAGCTTTTTAACAGATCTGCAAGGATTTCTAAGTATCTTGACGGAGAACATTGTCAGGCGGTGAAGTATATGTCTACAGAGTGACCCCTTCCCCCGATCATTGGGCTCATGGACTTGTAAGCGGCGGTATTGACTTTTCTGTCGAATGTAGGGATTTGTTTCAGAAGAATACGAAAGTTCGAGCTAAACTTACATCTTACATCTAGTATAAATCATCTTAAATGTAGAATGGCGCTTAGACTGCATTTCAAGGGTGGTTGTCCACATTCCTACTTTTTTACTTTCTCGGTACGTTTTATCCCAACGTACATCATTTCCTCGCTCATGGCTGAAGAAAGATGGTATATCACTTGTGGATCACGTTTTTCGTTTTCCGTCTCTCTACTTTCTCTCCCGCCGCGGACCCGATAACAGTTCTCCTTTGCGCCTCCTTTAACGTATCCGTTTCCTCCGATCCCTTCGTTTTCCCTCGTTTATTTTTCCCGGGTCTGCGGCGGGCGGGGCGGTCGTCTCCCATTCATGATGGATGGGGCGGAGAGGCGCGGCTCCTCCTGGGCGGGGAGGAATGCAAGGGCGGCGCGGCGGCGGCGGCGGCGGTTGTGCTCTCCTGCGCGAGCGAGGGACGGAACAGCCAGCCAGCCAGCGCGCTGCGTACAGCTCCGCATTGACCACCAAACTAGATTTTAGAAAAAAGAAATGTTTCTGAAACAAAAATATTCTTGGCAGTGACTTTTTAATGCCTGGCACCATAGATGTGGTGCCCAGCTGACGTGATATTTTGGTATAAATATTTGGTTAATTTTTGGTGAATTTAAAATTTATTTTTTGATTTGTAGGGTTTTAAAATGTACCAAGGAAATTAGTAAAAAACTAATTTTTTTAATCTATCGTTGGGGGGGGGGGGAGGGTCAAGCTTCGTGAGCCTGCCCTCTTCCCCTTGGGTGCACACCCTGATCCGGATCACATCCAGATTGGGTGTTGTCCCTGATAATTCCTAACTTCGGTTGAGAACGTGTGTAGACATGTGAATTGACGAGTATACCTGAAGAAATACTTGTTCCATGTTATGCTCCTTTTTTTTTTTTACAAAAGTACTGGTACAGATTGTTAAATTGACATTTGTGTTAGATATTCATTTCCGAAATTTTTATTTCATTATTTTTGTGTTATAAATATTCAGTGCGATTTCAGCGAAGTTGCTAAAATGATTTGATTTCCAATTCCAAAATGCTGACGTATGGAAAGACTGTAGGCAAAAATTATCTTCTAATCCTTTATCCAGGCAGCAGCTAGTGTTTAAAAAGGCAGTGTATGACTTGCTATTTAGCATTCCAGTTCATGACCTTATTTCTTTGGGAATGATTGGTGTAACGTAAGAAAATATTTACATAATTCCCCAATATTTTTCATAAATTATAGTACATTACGGACAATAAGCATCAAGAAATCCCGTTAATGCATGTGCTGGGGAATGATTAATGGTAATAGTAATGAGTATACCAAACGTTATTAGTTGAATAGTTTCTCGCTCGTGAAGCGTTAGATATCCTGGGTCATGTAAATCTTTAAAACTGTTTTAAAAGAGCTCTAATTTCACGTTCAATTTAGACAACAAATTTTTGTATTGACATAATTTACTAAATCGTTGGGATATTAGTTACCATATCGCGGAGAACGGAGAATGCGATATGTTTATTTTTATTGTTCGAATCATTTATTTCAAAGTTATGGGTGATTAAGATAAAGGCATCATTTGCTTTATAGATATACAGGCTATGGCGCCCATTAGGTGAATATCTTAAAAATGAAATATAGGAGGTGAAATAGGAGACCCCTGAGATAATAAACTGTGAGAGCTTTTATGCCCTACATGTCCCAAGAGAGGTGACCGGTATTTCCAGAAGAGCCCCTTTACAAGAAATCCTACCTGCACGTTCAGGTGCGAACATTACTTGCTTGGCTGCATTCCTCCATAAAACGCCATGTAGTATCCTGTCCAGCCTGCCTGGTTTCCTCTTTGCCCTTCAGCAGCGATCCTAAAGGAACCGGCGTGAAGGAAGGTCATGAAAGGGCTTCTTAAAAAGGGATGCTTGTCTTACAGAGAAATAAAAAAGAATTGATGATAATAAATATACACTCACTGTTATGAATTCAGTTACTGAGCCTTTTGGCGTAACGTTGAGTGGTGAATCATGCTGATGCCTAGGTTATAACGGTGGTGAAGCAATGGTGAACTGAGTGGGAGAGGAAACGGGAGAACTCAGGCAGAGATAACCTGCCGCGATCCCTTTCGTTCACCACCAATTCCACATCGATCGAACGGGATTTGAATTCGGGTATTCAGAAATAAAGAGTGATGGCCGCTGCTCTACA